AAATATAACCTAAGCTGGGATTTATAAGAGCTTTTAAGCTTTCTTTGGTTTCATCAGGAGGAGAGCTGCAAGTAAAAGGGTCAGAACGTGGCTCACTGCTTACAACACAGCACTCCCTTTTTTATCGCCTTTGTGGAGTCTCTGACTGGCTAAAAACGCAGGATTTATCTCTACCTACAAAGGGAGATGGCACGCTTTTTCCTCTCCCCACTATATTTACCAACATGCTGAAGGGTGTCTTTAAAGATAACATACCAATGTTAGACTTCTGGAAAGCAAACAAAAACAAAATCGCTGTCCAAGACCATGGGCCAATATGGCAACACTGTGTAGAAAACTCAACCATGTAACAGCGAGTTAAAAGTTAACTGAGGAACTCTCCTGCTCTGAATAGAGCTCACAGCTAGATCAGGTCATACCAACAAAAGCATTGTTTCTAACTATCTCGTAGGCAATACACACAACCATTTCAGTAGGACAGAAACCCCAAACAGCTTTAGTTGCTTGGCTTGCTGATCCCCTTCCCAGAATATGTAAAGATGCTTGAGATCTCTTGGATGTGACCAGCTCAACTGAGCTTCAGTGACTCCTGGCTGGTAAGGAGTGGAGAGTCTTCACATCAGACACAAGCAGGAGAAAGTGCTTTATTTGGTTTTGCACTACTTTTTTCCTCATTTGCTTGTTGTCAGGAGATGTGTATCAAACCACACAATCAAACAATACAATCTCACTTAAAAAACAAAAATATGATTGAGTTGTAGTACAAATTCTCTACAGACCTTGTAAGGTATGGTATCTTATGGTTCTCTTGAATTCTTAATGCTACACATCGTAATGATAATTTTTATTTATGTTTAGTGTATGTATTGTTTTATTCTGGATTGACACATGCCTGGGTGTGTTGTAGCCTCTATTTTCTTTTTGAAAGTCAACAGAAATCCTAAGCTAAAACCCATATAATGAACACCGAGAACTCCAAAGACAAGGACCAAGATCAGGAGGCAACTCTGTCACACCTCCAACTAAAACCATGCAGAACTGAGAAACAGGACCAGGTATCCTTGCTTATATGATGCAAGGAAGAACTGCTTATAACAGCAGATATACGGTCAAGTAAGTTCCTCCTTACAGCTCTCTTCTCAGACAATTAAAAGAGGCATAGCATAGTATTTCTGGAAACAGAGGCTGAAGTCCATCTAACTCAGACATTTGACTGGAAGATCTGACCTCTTCTGGACTTCATTCTTCTGTTACTTGCTTTCACATTGGGATCATGAACTTTCTGACTGAAAATAGTGAGAACAGTGGAAAGCAAGCTACTGAACATGAAAAGGTAAGGTGAGTCTTAATACTAAAAAAAAAAAAAAATACAAAAAAATGCTTAGGGACAGGCATGGCAGTTTTATTTAAGCTCACAAAACTTTTGATAGTGTTCAGAGCTTGCTCATAACTCCAAAGTCCAAACTGTCTGTGTATTTTTAAAGTTAAAAAATTTCAGTACCTTTGTTTAAACTGTACAGTACTGGATGCAGTTTTAAAGAAAAGGGCAATAATAGCAAAAAGCCCAAAAGACATTTTGTATTGGATGCAATTAAGTCCGATCTCTGTTGAAGAATAATAATTTCTTGACCACTCCAGCAGCCCAAAAATGATAGGAATGATGCTTAAGTGAACAGGAGAAAATCCACTTAGCAGAATGGATCCTTAGAAGGCATGTTTCCAAACATAGCTGAAGTGCTCTTGGGTCAGTAACAACAATATGTCACTGCAATAAGGACAAGAAGTAACTGCTGGCTCAGACCCAGCGTTTGGAAACACCAGAGCAGGTTTATTGCTCCCACAAGTCCTCAAACAAGGCTGTGCCATGAATGCGCTCAAGCCCTAATGCAAGACTCGGGGGTTCTGAGCTACATGAACACTGGCTGCAATACTAACATAATTTAAAAAAAAATAGAATTGCACACATCAGGCATTTTCCTTCTCAAAACACATCACCACTCTACACTACAAGTACAAAGAGCACATAGAAAGTAGTAAGCTGTGGGCTTACAGTACACCACAATATTCCTCCCATGTGTACCCTAAGATTTTGCAAAAATCCCTCTCTTCTTTAGAGCTTCCTGAGATATTTAAAGAGCCATAGATTCTTCTCTTGCAGTTGTGTTTAACTTCTGTAGCATTTGGGGTTCTTTTTGAGAAAAATTGCATTCCCATTTCTCATGCCCCAGCTGGATTTTTACAGCATCTGAACTGCCACAACAGAAGCCTGACAAATGCAGATCTCTGCCACAGACCATTGGCTTCCCCACGCAGTACTTTTCCTCTGAGAAATACAGAGTTAATGGCAAAAAACCCCACAGCTCTACTGCTTCTTCCTCTTATTTCTCCAAGTCATCTAAAGCTGAGAGCACAATTATATTGTGTTTCTGTTCTATCAGAAAAGAGGGCAAATGCCATTATATTGGAATTATCCTAGATGAAAGAACACTGGAAGTACTGGAACTACATGTTTCACAATGGGACTACAAAGCCAACCTCTTTTCCAGATACCATTAATCACATCCAAAAGACAAGTAGCCAGAGCAACTAAGAGCATTGGACATTTTTAAGGCAGGAAAGTGAATTCAGTTTTACGCAGGACCTGTTAAAACACGTTCACCTGAGAAATTACTTTGTTGACGACTTCACTGTCCAGCTTTCTGTAAATAAGTGGGTGGGCTACAGGCAGCAAATTCAGACATAAAAGGTGTCTTATGAGAACCAAAGGATCAAAATCAGCTGTGCTGACTATATTAATGGAAATTACGTCAGATGAACTCATCAGAAGTTGTGCTTCCACGGGAAGAGGATCACAGGCACCATCCATTTGTCAGTCCCTGGCTGTGATGATGTGCCAAGAGAGAAGACAGCATGGATGCAGCAGGAAGCAACTAGGCAGAGGGTATATGATAAACTACGTGGATGTCAGTAGGAAAACAATTCAATTTAAAAAAACCACAAAACTATAAGTACACACCATCCTACTAAATGCTTTTTAACTTGTATGCTCACCTCCAGGTATAACAAAATATCAATGCTTTTTGCCCAAAGCCTGCATGACACTAACATCGAGATTACTTTCACTCCTTTTCTCTCCATCTCATACTCAAGCTCCTTTGGGTCCATGAAAAGGCAGTTGGGGATTAATCCCAAGACGATTTATACTGGTGAAATTCTGTTCCTCATCCCCAGGATAAATCCTCAATCTATTTTGCAAGAAGGGTTCTGCTTTATTTCATATTTCATGGCTGGACTGAGATAGGGGCAGGTCAAATGGTTTTCCCAAAGTTGGAAGAAACCTTGGAGCTCCTTTTGGATGGAAGTGGGGGAACCCACTGCCTGCCTACTATTGCCTGTACTCACTGTGTAACACTGCCTTCGTGCTGCTTGTGACCAAATTTTCACTACTTTTGATGAGTTCTCATGGCAAAGCGGGGAAAACACATTGATAGGTCTCTGTTGCGCTGGAGAATTGAGATCGCATGTCGAGCCTCATGGGGCAAGAGGAACAGCCCAAATCTAAGCTTCTAGCTTTCTGTCCTTGTTAAGTGCTAAAAAAAAAATTAACTAACAAGCAATAACATTTTGTTTATAACTAAAGCTTTTGAGAATTCTGTATCATTTACAGACATTACTGAAGCTCTACATTTCTTCTGCAGTCAGGCAGGCATCATTCATTGTGCTTTCAGAGACAGCTATTGAAATGCTCACGGCCAAGGAGCTTTGACCAATTTCTCTCTGGCGATTAAACAAAACTGTTTCCCCACGGATGACTGAAGGCAAAGCAACCCCGCCGCCCAACCACTCCAGCCAGACAGTGGAGGACAGGAAGGTGTTTGGTACATTAATGGCACACTTGTGGACCGGGGATATTTGAACCATTTGAAGCCGGAATTGAAACCCACAGGCCATCAGAAAAGTACGGAGGTAAGCAGCGGGAAGGGCAGGCCCAGTGTTGTAGAAGAGAATGTGACTTGAATCAACAATCTGCCTGAATAGCAAGAATGAAAATACCACTGTGAATTTCTGTCTTGATTGCACTGTGTATCTCACGATAGGAAAATTTGACATTTTTCTTCCACCGCAAAACAAAAGGAAACGAAAGGCTTGTTCTTCAATTACACCTTGAGAAATTAGTACACTGATTTAAAAAAAAAAAAAAAACAACAAAAACCAACAACTTGTTCTTAACTAGTGCAAGTTGAGATAAATTCATAGAAAAACCATCTTCAGTAATGCTGGCAAGAATCAAGCATCACCACATGCTGCAGTCAAATATAATGACACAGCTACTTTTTATTGCCATAATGCCTGGAAACCACAGATCATACAGTTGTCAACGTACAAATGCTGATGACCTAGGGCACATCTTACACCCAATGTGTAAACATAAAACGTAGTTTCATATGATGCTAGGAAGATAACCAAACCTCTTTCCCCTGCCCCCGCCCCCGATTTAAACTGCATTTCAAAACAGCTTCTATTTTTCTTGCAAATTAGATGACTTCAGAATTTAAATCTCACTCTCAGAGCAACACTGTAAATCATAGGGGCAGTAGTGGAAAAGTTACATGCATACACACATTGCCTGAAACAAGCTCAGCTTTGGTCTACAGACACCGTAGTAATGCACAATAAAAGCAGACATAAGCCATAATCATTTACTGCTAGAGATAAGGCACGGGAAACAAAAACTCCTGGTTTGTGTAATCAACAAAGTGTTGGCCTAAATTTGTTCATCTCATGTTTAATTCTGAGAAAATTTCCCCTGATGGAAATATCTCTGGCTTATATTACTGGATATATTATGAGACAGTTGATATTTGGCCTTTACACAAACATGTTTAAGCAAGCAAAGAGTGCTGTGAATTTTCAAAAGAAACAACAGCTATGCTGCCCATGTCCTCCCCCAGTACCAAATCCAGACTGGGGCTCGCTGAACAGTGCAAAACCACACTTACGTCCTGAGTTCTGGTCTGGATTCGGAGGAATTCTGGATTTCACCTTCTCCACAGCCTGAGATCTCCAGGTTTCCATACCTGAAAAATGAGATGGGTGTTTAGAGAAACCTCGTCTGAATAAAAGCAAAATCCCAAAGAGCATAATTCATATATAATTATCATAAACAACTAAAAAGTGTTTCTAGCTCTTACTACAAATATGGAATCTAACAGTTTGGCAAGATTAAGGAGCTTGAAGATTACTTCTTTAAAGAGACGGCCAGTATCTTCCAACCTACTTCATTAATTTATACAAAGCAGCCTGCACACAGGAGGAATCAACCAAAACAGTTTCTTTGCTCATAGCTCCAAGACCCTTTCTGCCCATTTTTCACTCCATCTCATGCCAAAACTACTGACACAGTTGTCATGAGTGGGAATGGCCCGTGGTGCTGCGAAAATGCCACCGGGAGAGAGGAAACTGTGGGCATAACTCCAACAGCACAAAGGAAAATATCTTTTCTACATAGGCAAGGCCTGCCTTGAAGGCAGGATTATGCACTTCATTTTCAATGGGAGTGCCTTTTGGTTCAGATATACAGCTCCATAAAGAACTTCATGGTTCCTTAGAGGCAGCTTTAATGAAGGCAGACAATTCTCACAGTCCAGATTAAGGCAAGCTGATTCTACACATTCTGTGTTCAACTAATTGTGTCAGGCACCTGCAATTAATCTGAGTAGTTAGGAGAGCAAGTGCACCTTTAAGTGTTTGTGCCACAACGTCCTAGTAACACCAAGCAGAGAAAATACAGTGGGCTCTTGCTTGTTTTCAGAAGGCTCATGTTCGAACTGTAACAAAATCATCCAAAAATGCTTCAAAGGATTAAAATAAGAGCTGGTAGTTTTATGCTCCTCTAAAGTATCAGTCTAAGGCTTCATAGGTAAGAATTCCAGATCTGTACAGAAAGTCAACCAGCGTAACTGAATTCAAGCTCACTCTCACCAGATCTGCCAGACTGCAAATAATACCTTTTAGCACCATATTCATATCGATATTCAACCCTACCATGGCTCACAACTTCAGAACTCCACAATACTTTAAAATAAGAACTTAAGTGTCAACAATCTTATGACAAGGGCTTAAGGTTGGATGGTTCCAGGGTGGATGGGGAAGCTGAGGCTGAGAGAGGTCGAGGGTTTACACACAGTCCAGCGCATGGCAAAGGAAACCCAGACTAATAAAGTCAAACAAGTACTCCCTCTGATAGCAGCAGCAGCCACTGTCTTGAGGCGGTCAGCTTGGGCTTATGGAGCCTTGAGAGCACGGTGCTAAGACCACTTGTGTTATCTGAAACAGCTCATTTAAAACCAGATCCTGCATCTCCAACTACGTTGCAGGTAGACATAACAAAAGGTAATTTTCTTCATTTGTTACCACATATCTGTGACAAAGCCGAGAACAAAATCAGGACTACTTGACCCCAGTAGCTTAGTCTGCCCAATACACTGTCTCTTCTTCAATCTATGCTCCCACATCAGTGGCAAAGACTTCAGAAACCTTCCTTTTTACCTCTAGGAAAAAAAGCATAATACATTAATAAAAACTTTCAAACCTCCGGTTTTAAGGGCCAGAACTCTTCCCAGTTATCCTGAAACAGTCCTGCTGGTCCTCTAAGACAACAGAAGTGTGAGAGTAGGTTTTAAGGGCTACTTAAAAGAGAAAGGGTCCTTAGAGACATAGACAGGATAACCCATTTTGCCGTTGTGATTTCACAGAGCTAAAGAAAAACACACTTAGCTAAACTGACAACGGGGTAAGAATCCACTTCTAAGCATGCTGAGTAACACCTCAGTCCCTCAGTGCTCACAGTGAATCACAATGGGAGCATTCACAGAGGAACCACTGCTTGGTACAAGAACAGCGGTCAGTCTTGTTCTGAAATCTTTGGTACATCAATGGCCTTTCTGCTTTCTCCTATATTCCCCAAAGCCATTTCACACCCTTTTAGTAGGACCAGCACTACTGATGGTATAAAATAATAGAATTATTAAGGTTGAAAAATACTTCTAAGATCAAGTCCAACCGTCAACCTAACACTATCACGCACCAAAGTGCCACATCGACACATTCTTTGAGCAGCTCTGGGATGGTGACTCCACCACTTTCCTGGGCAGATTGAATAGATACCTACTTTCCGACTCAGCTATACCTGAATTCATACTAAATCCTGCCTGGTCTCTTTCAGCTCTCAGAAATACCCTAAAAACTCATTACTAGAGTCTTCAAATTCAAATTTCTAATTCAGTGAATGCAGTTACCTATTTGCAAAGCTTCCCACTGCTTTACTGTGAGGATGGAGTAAATCAGACGAGCCTTAAGAACAATACTTCCAACACTTTGCTAAGCTGAAGTTTAACCTATTTTTAATAGATTTAACTCTACTGGTTTCAATATTTGCTCTTGCAGACTTGTAAACTGTTTTGCATTTCCAAATACTGTAATACTGGGTAACATATCACCTTAACAAGAAGATGCAAGAAGAGCATAAGGGGATATTCAGAGAACTATGCTGAACCCTTCTCAGTGGGGATCGCCTGGGACATTACAGAGACTGCTGATATAATGTACGTTACACGCTATGGTGGCTGCTCCTCTCCTGTTGCTAAAGGGAAAGGATTTCACTCTCCACTGCCATCTGCTACATCTTGGCCAATAGAAAAAAGACATTTTTCCCCTTGCTGGGAGAAATATGCAAAGCAAGCTTCAAATTTTGAGTAAAAATTACATTTTAAAATTCATTTTTCAAAACTTGCCATTAATTCTTACACTAAAATTTACTGAGCTGACTCACAATGTCATTGCCCTAGTATTGTATGAAATATAAAATATGTAATTGCAGAACATTAGGTATTTGCATTTAAATCCCACTAGAGAGATACATGTTGATTTTTATAATACAAATCCATAACATAGTAATAAAGATCAAGCAATTTTCTTTATAGAACTGGAGAAGTATATAATGCTCCATTATACTGCCAGATGTAAACCTCTGCCTATCTTCCAATGCAAGAGCTCTGCATGAACAACAGGTAATTAAATACGGGTTAGGAGCAGTTAATGATATATCTGATATAAAGAACAGCATCTCTGCAGACTTCCACGGCTCTGTTCTCACCAGCTTCTGGACAAAGAGCCATTCACTACCCAGCCTTGTATGAATGCTTTGCATACAAAAAGAGACAGGAGAAACAAAAGCATCCTGCAGCCCACAGAACTTTTCAGACTTGCTTAGCATTTGGAAAGTTATAGAGTCCACTCAAAGGGACTGATTAAGCAAATGAGACCAGAATGTAATGAATAGTACTGAATATTTAAACACTGAAAAAAAGAGTAGAAAATGCACCCCTGCATCTCTGTTAAGAATGGAAGGGAATAAGAGGGAAGAAAATGCTCTTTGAATAACTTGGAAATAATAAGGAAAGGTGGTTCTCTGCAAAAGCCCCAAGCAAAGCCCTAAATAATGCTTAGAAGCACTGGAACAAGCAACTTGGAAGCACAGACACTCAGCAAGAATCAAAGGGTGTTTTGAATTATGCACGCATAGAATCACGGAAATTGATTCTTTAGTTGCACAGACAAACCACCTGGTGTTCAGGAAAGCAACGGAGGAAAGAAAAGATGCTACAGCAACAATAGCGAGCCAAACGCCACATAAAGCTACTGTCCCCAAATCTGTGGGATCCAGTCTCTCAAAATCCTCTCTTTACCCTCATTTTCCTCTTCATTTACCAGCAGAAGGAATGAACTGAAAATGTAAAACCAGCTTGTTATTTGCTGTCATTATCCAGCTCTAGCTTTCCTACCAAACACCATCTACTCCCTTCCCCATAAATTCCTTGAGACGGGGACTGGCTGCTGCTTTATCTGCAACTGTGCCAAGCACAGCACAGCCCTGCTGTTAAACACCATTGCAAGGAACACAATTTCTGGGACAAAATAAAATACCTAAGAGAGGAACTTGGTCTGCTTCTGCTCTCATCTGGACAGCTAAACATCTTTGGATTCCAGCACATGTGAGAGCAGTTAATTTCACTACGCACCCAGCAACACCAGGGATACAGAGGGAACCCTGCAAGGTGTTAGGCTGCATCCCCAAATTCAGGCCAGGAGCAGCTGCTCTCCTTTTCCTCTCTCCAGGAACTTCCATCAAGTGTTTTCACATGAAAATGCCAACAAGATTTTTTTTTTTAATTTTTTTTTTTCCTTTTAAATCTCCCTACCCACTTCGATCAAACAAAGAGAAAATAGCAGAACATACAGTCTTAAAGGCTTGGCGGGTTTTCAAAGCTGTCTGCTGCATTTAGATGCCAAACTTCCATGAATACTAAAGGGATGTGGATGTTCAATGACTCTTAAATAGCTTTGAAAATACAAGTCATCCCCCTCACTTTTCAACATACCAGCTCTACGCCCAAGATTTTGTTTGGTTTGACTTCTACTCTTATGTTAAAAGAAAACCGTTATAGGCCGAATCCAGCCAAAAGAATGAATAGGGCTCCAGTCTCAAATTTTATAAAAAGCAAAAGATTAATTTAAAGTCCTGGAAGTAAAAAAAAATATTTATTCACAATCTCCAAGAACTGTTAAAAGTTACTCAAAGAGCAAATAGTGCATTTCTGATTTTCCTAATGACAGAAGTTATCAAAGAGCCCAATTTAAAGCCCATTACAATAAGTAGCATAGCACTAAAAATCCAGTAAGTATCTTTTGACTGAAACATGGGGAACCGCATCAGTCTTAAAATATTTTGAATTACACATTAACAATTCAAACCTTTTCATATGCCTTGGTTGATACTTTGTGCAACTCTACTCACCACAGTGGATGCATCGTAGGCCAGGAACCATCTTCAGAAACATTCCCCTCTGCCCCACTGGTTTGAGCGTTGCTGTGAGGACAATACCAGCATGGGCTGTGGGAGTCAAAACCCCCAGAAGGACAAGCACCATGCAACTGTGCGATTCCTGCTGTGCCATAACCAAAGCCACATGTGTCTGGCTTTAGGAGGACTTCCCCCCCCACTTGCCAACATCACATG